CATGCGCCACCACGGCCAGCTAATTTTTTGTATTTTTAGTAGAGACGGAGTTTCACCATGTTGGCCAGGATGGTCTGGATCTCTTGACCTCATGATCCACCCGCCTCAGCCTCCCAAAGTGCTGGGATTACAGGCGTGAGCCACCACACCCAGCCAGTTTTCAATTTTAATCAGGTTTATTTCACCACTTTTTTTTTTAATGCTTAGTACTTTTTGTTCCTAAGATCCATGGGCATAAATATTTTCTCTGATGTTTTCTTATAAGAGGTTATAGCTTTAGCTTGTACATTTGGGTCTGTAATTCATTTGAGTTTGTGTGTATATGAAATGAGAGACCAGGTTCTTTTTTTCCCCCTTAGGGATGTCAAGTTGTTGCAGCATCATTTGTAAAAGGACTGTCCTTGCATCATTGAATTCCCTTGCAGTTTAGTTGAAAACCAGTTGGCTATATATCTGTTGGTCATTTCAGGATTCTGTTCTGTTTAATATATGTGTCTACAGCAAGAGCATCTGAATTATTTTAGCTTTTTTTTTTTTTTTAGATGGAATCTTGCTTTGTTGCCTAGGCTGGAGTGCAGTGATGCAGTCTTGGATCACTACAACTTCCGCCCCCTGGGTTCAAGCAGTTCTCCTGCCTTAGCCTACCTAGTATCTGGGATTACAGGTACCCAGCACCACACCTGGCTAATTTTTTTATTTTAGAGGAGGGGTTTCACATGTCAGCCGGGCTGGTCTTGAACTCCTGACCTCAAGTGATCTGCCTGCCTTGGCCTCCCAAAGTGCTGGGATTACAGGCACGAGCTAGCGTGCCTGGCCTATAGCTTTATATTAAGTCTTGACTTCAGATTTATTCATTTTCAAAATTGTTTTGGCTATCCTAGATCCTTTGCATTTCTCTACATTTTAAAATTCACTTCTCTATAACAGAAAAGCTTCCTGGGGTTTGACTGGGATTGTGTTTAATCTATAGATGAATTTGGAGAGAATTGATACCTTAACAATACAGAAGTCTCCCAATTGATGAACAAGGTATATAGCTCTCCATTTATTTAGGTCTTTAATTTTTCTCAAAAATGTTTATACTTTTTAACATTATAGGTTTTGCAAATATTTTCTTAAATTTATCCTTAAATTTTGTTTTTGGATGCTATTAGAGATGGTATTTTAAAAGCTTTTTGCTGGGCTTGGTGGCTCTGCCTATAATCCCAGCACCTTGGGAGGCTGAGGTGGGCAGATCACCTGAGGTCAGGAGTTCGAGACCAGTCTGGCCAACAGGGTAAAAACACATCTCTACCAAAAATAAAAAAATTAGCTGGGTGTGGTGGCAGGTGCCTGTAATTCCAGTTACTCGGGAGGCTGAGGCAGGAGAATCGCTTGAGCCTGGGAGGCAGAGGTTGCAGTGAGACAGGATCACGCCACTGCACTCCAGCCTGGGCAGCAAAGAGCAAAACTCTGTCTAAAAAAAGAAATTCATTTTCTGACTGTAACTAGTTTACAGAAATACTAGTGATTTTTTATTTTTATTTTTTGAGAGCCTAAATGTGGGGCATGCTTCTTCTTCAGCCTTTAGTGCTGGGATTGGGTTACATCAGTCTACTCAAGAGTTGAGCTGAATTTGAGTTTTGTTGTTGCTATGGTTGTCTTCAGTGCCCCACTGGCATGGGATTCCTGTCCTGTTAACCTTATGGTTAGGTGGGGTCTGGGATGCCATTTTTTTTTTTTTTTTTTTTTTT